CAGTGTGCGCCCTCTTTCCCTCTCACCTGCGCCTGGTCAGCATTGGGGTCGTCCATCTTGGAGTACAGCACCTCGTGGAACTCCGCCACCACCTTGTGCACCTCCGCCATCACCCGCCGCAGGATGTTGGACTGCGGGGGAGAACGGGGGGGGGAGGTGGGGTTGGAGGGGGGGGAGAGAAGGGAAAAGGGGAAAGGGGTGAAGCAAGGGCATCGGATAGTTGGGAGCTCCGCCACCACCTTGTGTTGTGTTGTGCACCTCCAACAACACACGGCGCAGGACGTTGGACTGGAGGAGACGGCCACAGTGCAGGGGAGGGGAATGGGGAGGAACAACGAGGTGGACTTGATGCCACTCACATGCACAAAAGGGAGATGGGCTGTGGGTGGGCATTTGGCTACTCACAATGGAGATGGGCTGTTGGGATTTAGGCCAAGCCACTCACGTGTGCGGGCAGCGAGATGGACTTGGCCTTGAGGTACTCGTGGACAGCACGGTCGTACTCGCCATGCTGGACGAATGCGCGCATGACAGCTGGCAGGTTGAAGAGCGTGCGGAAGCGCAGCAGCAGCCCCTGCACCGAGCGAATGCGGTCCACTTGCTTCTGCTCGGGGGGAGTGGGGTGGGGGGCATGGCGAGGGAGGAAGAGAGGGGGAGTGTGCAGAGGCAGGGGAGATGGGAAGGTCATAACTGGGGGCCGAGACAGCAGCAACCCATGTGCATCCCACCTGTGTGGCTCTCTTTTCCGACTTGTCTGTCTCTCGAGCAATGGGCCAAAGGCGGCCTGCGCCATCTCGTGCACGTCGCGGGTGGCCACCAGAATCACCTGTCGGAGCCGCACCGGTTAGAATCTGCCTGTCTGAGCCGCACCTGTTAGAATCTGCCTGTCTGAGCCGCACCTGTTAGAATCTGCCTGTCTGAGCCACCTGCATGAATCCCACCAGAATCACCTGTCTGAGTCTCGCCTGTCTTGAGCTGCCACCTGTCAGAATCGCACCTGTCGCTCGAGCAGCGGGCCAAAGGCGGCCTGCGCCATCTCGTGCACGTTGCGGGTGGCCACCAGAATCTCCTCCGTGCCGCTGTCGCTGCGGCTCTCCATCTCGCGCACCTTCTTCTGGATGTCTGGCGGGAGGGAGGGGCCGTTAGCAACAGCGATTGAAAGGAGTTTCTGCGCCTGTGAAAGAACACGCTGTCGCGGTGCCTCTCCATCTCATGCACCTCTTTCTGGATGTCTGGTGAGAAACACGGGGGTGGACGCTCCAAGGGTTGATGGTGAGTGGGGAGGGAAGGGGGGAAGATCACATCACACGCTGTCACTGTCGCTGCGGCTCTCCATCTCGCACACCTTCTTCTGAAAGCATCGGTTGGTATGTATGCCTGAGAGAAAGTTTGCATCACATCACTCCTGCTGGTTCTCCATGTCCGCACCCAGACCTGCCATGCCCGCAGCTCCTTGATAGACATGCCGTCATGCACGAGGAAATCAACCATCCTCCACCCCCGCTTTCCCTCCCCACACCCCGCACCTTCCCCCTCCCCCCCCCCACCGCACCTTCGATGGTAGATTTGCAGGAGACGAAGGAGTCAAAGTTCTCTTTGACGAGCGTCTTGAGCTGCTGCTGCTGGTTCTCCATGTCCGCGCCCAGCGTCGCCATGCCCGCCCGCAGCTCCTCAATGGACGTGTCGTCGTGCACGCGCCCCAGGTAGAACGGCGAGCTGAACTTGGGGCCGAATACAATGACTTTTTCTGGAAGGGGGAGAGGGGAGAGGGGAATGCGCAGGATGCAAGCTCATCTCCTCGATAGACGTGTCGTCGTGCACGCGCCCCAGGTAGACGAATGGGCTCAACTTGAGGCCCATTTTTCTACCAGGCTAGAGGAGAGCATGTCGTCGTGCACGCGCCCCCGGTAGACGAATGGGCTCAACTTGAGGCCCATTTTTCTACCAGGTGAGAGGAGAGCGTGTCATCGTGCACGCGCCCCAGGTAGACGAATGGGCTTAACTTGAGGCCCAGTTTTCTACCAGGTGAGAGGAGAGCGTGTCGTCGTGCACGCGGCCCACCTGCCATGCTCTCCTCTCACCGGCCATGCTTCCTCTCACCGGCCATGCTCCCCTCTCACCGGCCATGCTCTCCTCTCACCGGCCATGCTTCCTCTCACCGGCCATGCTTCCTCTCACCGGCCATGCTCTCCTCTCACCGGCCATGCTCCTGTCGTCCGGAACGGGGATGGTGGAGGCGTTGATGGCGAGACACACCTTCACGCGGTTCAGGGGCCTGGTGGGGGGGCGACGGGAGGGGGGGAGGAGGAGGGGGGAGGAGCGGGAATGAGCGGGAGAGGGACGAAGGAGAGCAAGGAGGGATGTCAGCAGTGGAGGGGCCAATGGCGAGACACACCTTCACGCGGTTCAGCGGCTTGGTGGGAGTGGAAGGAGGGGGGTGGGAGGGGGGAAGGAGGGAGGGGGGGGGGAAGAGCGAGGAGAGGCACGGGAGAGCAGGGATGACAGCAGTGGAGGAGTCGATGGCGAGGCACACCCTCATGTGGTTCACAGGACTAATGGGGGCGGGAGGGGAGGGAGGGACAGACAGAGAGAGCGGAGTGACAAAGAGATGCGAGGGGCAGAGAGAGGAGGAGAGCGGGAGAGACGAAGGAAGGAGGGCGTGCAAGGAAGTGAGCAGGGGAAGCGTTGAGGGGCAGATGCCCTGGCAGGGAGCGGAAGACGACACAAGGGATTCGGGGGAGGGGGGCGGAGAGTGGGGAGGGGGGGGATGGCACGGTGCAACGCAATGTCATGCTCCGGACTCGTGGTGGGCGCATGCGGGTCTCCCTGCTAGAACACCAGGACTAATTTTGCCCCTATCTACTATTGCCCATAACCATATCAACTGTTGCGTGTATCTCTCACCCGTATCCGAGGGGGTCGTTGAGCTCCGACAGCCCAAGGCCCTCGAGAGCGGATTTGGTGGCGGGCGCATTCGTGGCCGATGCGAAGTCTCCTCGCAACTCCCGCAGCTCCCGCACCTTGCGCACCAGCTGGAGGGTTAGGGAGAGAGGGGGGTGGGGGGGGGGAAGGGGGGGTTGGGTTGGGGGGGGTGGGGGGGGGTGCAGGCGGACGTATCGAGTGGCAGCGGTGGAGAATTCGCTGCTCGCCCGCAGATGACGACCACGCGCACCATCTGGAAAGGGGGAGCGGGGAGGGGAGAAGAGGGGGTGGTGCGATGGGGCGAGAGGAAGGGAAGGGGGGACCAAGGTGGGGGGGGAGGAGGAGAGGGTGAGAGGACAGATGGGATCTGCGACAGAGGCGAAGGCAGTGATTGCGGGTCAGGACCGCTGTGGGCTGCGGAGAAAAGGGCAGGAGGACTGGCGGGTGGAGGAGAGGGTGGGCATTGGAGTCAAGCAGTGCTTGAAAATGCGGGCAAGAGCTCATAATTCTGTCTAGAACATCCGCTGTGTACCAAATGTGGCTCATCCACGCTTCACCCAAACGCATCTTGGCCGTCCGTTGACTCACCACATCTTCGTTGACCATGTTCCACTCCGACGCATCCTCGTCGTCCATCATGAACCCATCCGCGTTATAAATCGACATGCGCCGCGACGGCAAGCTGCGCAGAAACTTCCCCGCCTGCGTCGGAATTGGAGGGAGAGACGAGGCACGGTACAAGTGGGCTGGAATGGATGCTCGCTTTGAGAAATAGAGGTTTCTGGCGGCGACAGCACGAGAAACCGCGGGATGAAACGATCCATCAGGGACATGCAACACATTTATGACGGGAATTGGGGCCACAGCCTGCCCTGGTTTCAAGTGGAATATGATCACCCTCGATTTGGCTCCACCTGTTTGCTTCCCCCCGTTACAATCCCCTTCTATCACCTTGGGCGGGCCCTCCTTGGGCTTCTCTTCATCGTCGGACGACCCCACTCCGCCCTCGGCGTCCGAGTCCTCCGCCTCCGACTCATCGTCGTCGTCGTCCTCCTCCTCCTCGTCCTCATCCTCCCCCCCATCCCCGTCCTGCGCTCCGCCCCGCCGTCCAATCCCCGTGCGCGCGCGGACAGCCGTTTGCGCGCGCGCAATGCGCTTCCCTACGCCGCCCTTGGCCTTGGCGAAAACTTTCACGAGGTTCTTCGCCGCCTGCTGCGGCTGTGCGATTTTCGACGCCAGCGCGCTGCCCGTCGCAGTTCGTCGCATGGAGCTCGTCGCATCCGAAGCTTCCGCGGACCTTCCGCTTCCCACCGTTCCGGCGCGCTTGGAGAAGCGGCCTTCGCCGGCGGAGAGGGACTGCGTGGCTCCGCGAGCGGCGGCGGCGGCGGCTGCAGCGGCGGCGGAAGCGGTGGAAGTGACTTTATGCGTGAGCGACGAGGTGCGACCTCCTAAGCGATCGGGCTCCTCGTCGTCCATGGCGGCGCTTGACACTAGCGGCAAGACCTAAGCTTGGGGACTAATGATGGGAAAGAAACACTAGCGGCAAGAGCTGGAGGAAGAGCTGAAACGTACAAGCTCAAGACCTAAGCTTAGGGGCTAATGGCCTTTAGCGTGCTAGGCGTGAGCGGCTTCTGCAGAAGCTGTTGAGTGATGAGTGAAGGGTGGACATCAAAATGCGTGTACACGTACCAACCAGCATGTCAGAAGGCTCGGTGGTGCTACTGTCTCTCACCAATCTGCTTTCCACTAGAGAGGGGCTGGAAATGTGCTCGCTACAATCACTTCCCCCCTGCTCGCAACGCAACACCGAGTTCCCCCAGGCAACATTTCCAGCCTTGGGAATTGTTCGCATATTTGCGGGTCTTGGCAGGTGGTTGCATATTTGGAAGGCTTGGGAACCGGTCGAACATTTTGCAGACTTCGCTGTATAACTTCCCTTTTATTTAGAGTTTAGCACACTCTGTGTAGTGTAACCGGTCATGCTCTGTGGCGAAACCTTGGGAATGCCTGCCATCTGACAACACAACACACCCTCCACGAGCATCTCAGGAACTACGAGTACAGCACCCTTGAACCGCGGTCAAGCACTTACGCCTGCTCACTTCTGCCCATGCCCAAGTACTGATTCCGTAGCAGTCCGCCCTGGAGGCGACACGCCGTCGTCGTTCCTTGGCTTCTCGCGAAGCGCTAGCGAGCCCAAGCTTCACATCAATGCTCGCATTCAATTCTTAGAGCGATCTTAGATGACATTTGATTTTACTCAAAGGCATTCCCTTAGAGCGTCCTTGGCGTCCCATGTTCACATTCACACCATAAGAGAGCGTCCTTAGCGTCGTATCTGCGCCAGCGTCGCTCGACATGTCGTCGCTCGTGCGCGTCGTGTCGAGAGCCGGCAGGCCCTCCGAGAAGCGCTACTCGCTGCTAGACAGGCTCGCTGGGCGAGATAAGCCGGGCCGCTTGGGCCGTACTTCGTCTCGCGGCGCCGCAGCGCAGAGCGCGCCTGGCCAGCAGGCGAGTAAGGTCGCTCGCGACCTAAAAGAGGAGGAGGATGACGACGACGATTCGGACGACGACGAGATTCTGAGCATCTCATCCGACGAGGACGATGAAGGCCGCCCCGCCGCTCCCGCCATCACGCCGCGCGTACCGGCGAAGGTGCGATCTTAAACCGCCTTCCTTTGTGAGCATTTCTCAGCGTACCTAATCTCTCGACTTCCTCAGCTGTTGCGTATCGAATCTCTTGTCGCCCGTAAGTGATTCTTTACTGTGGTTCCATGGCATGGCATTCGCCTTCTTAGTCGACAATAGCGCCTCATGGAGCTGCTCGTGCCGTGTGGTGTGGAATGAATCCGTGCGCGCAGTGGGAGTCGTCGCGGATGCTAACGCGGATGGGGACGCGGCGGTACGGAGCCATGGAGCTGGGGGACGGGGGAGAGCCCACCTCGTGGGATGAAGTCGGCGAGGACTCGGTGAGTGCTAGCGTGACTTGGGTAGGGGCGCTGGGGTGAGTGCACTCTGTTGCGAGACTGTTGAGGTTCGCGTGCTGAAGATGCGTTGCCACGTGCTGAGAAACGGGCCTTTCCTCGTAATTCCCTCTCTCCCTGCCCCTCTCATTCTCCCTTCCCCTCTCTCTCGCCTGCTCACTGTCGTACACACCCACACCCCGACCTGCGCCTTGAGGTGACCAGCTGATGCGCAAGGTGCGTGATCTACGAGCAGCGTTAGGGGGGCGGGCCAACGTGCGGTCGCAGGCAGTGACGCAGGGCAGCACGGACGAGCCTCTGGGGTCCACCATCATGGACCCGCTGGGCCTGGGGTGAGTGCTGCTGTGCGACATGTAACATGCGTCATAGTCATGCATCATCGTCCATCATCATGCTTCATCATGCATCATCATGCTTCATCAGGCATCATCATGCTTCGTCATGCATCATCATGCTTCATCATGCTTCATCATGCATCATCATGCTTCATCAGGCATCATCATGCTTCAACATGCATCATCATGCATCATCATGCTTCATCATGCATCATCATGCTTCATCAGGCATCATTATGCTTCAACATGCATCATCATGCTTCAACATGCATCCTCATGCATCATCAGGCATCATCTTGCTTCATCATGCATCATCATGCATCGTGATGCTTCATCATGCATCATCATGCTTCATCAGGCATCATCTTGCTTCATCATGCATCTTGATGCTTCATCACACATCATCATGCTTCATCATTCATCATCATGCTTCATCATTCATCATCATGCTTCATCATGCATCATCAGCATCATCATGCGGCATCATCCTCGTCATTCATCATCATGCTTCGTCCCTGAGGGGGCTAGGCCAGTGTGCAGCCTGTTGCAGGCAATGGTCTAGGCGTAGGGCACCACGGACCAGCCGCGGGGCTCCACCATCATGGATGGATGGCCGGGCCCTCTTGGCCTCGGGCTGAGTGTGCTGTGCAGCGTCAACTCGCATGCATCGTGTGCTTCGTCCTCTAGGGGGCCCGGCCAATGTGCGTCGGTTGCAGGCAGTAACATAGGGCACCACGGACCAGCCGCCATCATGGATTCCCCCCCCTCCCCTCTCGGCCTGGGGTGAGTGCTGTGACCCACCAACTACGACCGTGCGACTTGGAGCGCTGCCTGACTCTGCCTCACGTACCTTCTGCCTACGTGCCCTCTGCTCCCCAGTTCTCTCTCTTGCCTCCTCAATCCCCTGTATCTACTCCGCTTCCACCTCTGTTTTGTACCTTGGTTTGGCGTGTGTTTGCGTGCGTGGCAGGCCTCTGGACGTGGAGCACATGTGTCTGCAGTGCCGATACGAGAAGGGCAAGAGTGCGCCGGACCGCTCCCTGCTGCCAGGTGAGGGGTTGCCTTTCGACGCCTCAATGTAGACTGGTTATTGGGGGGGGCCATTGGAGCCCATGCTGTACCTGTCGGTGGTGCATGGGCGGGCAGCGAGCGAGCTTTGTTAGACTTCTTTATGCACGGTGGAACCCACCCACCCCCTGTTCCCTTGCCACAGAGATGCTGGTGAATCTGGACGAGGCGTTCGAGCCCATGCTGTACCTGTCCGTGGTGCACGGGGGCAGCGCGGCGCGGGAGCTGGAGGAGGGGCGGGAGAAGCTGGAGGAGGTGATGCAGCGGGAGAAGGAGCAGCTCAAGAAGCTCGTGCAGAACAACTTCGACTGCTTCATCTCCTGCAAAACCACCATCAACGGTCAGTGCTGCTGCATCCCCTGCAAAACCACCATCAACGGTCAGTGCTGCTGCATCCCCTGCAAAACCACCATCAACGGTCAGTGCTGCTGGGTTGCTGGGTTACTGGTTGCCAAAAAATTACTCAGGTGGCTCATGGGGTACGATTCGAGCAGATACGTGCGGGTCTCAAGCTGACTCAAGGAGCAAGCTTGACTGGTTCGTCCCATGCGACTCGCTCTGATCCCTCTCTCAAGCGGTCCGTGTATTACTGGATCCTGGGTACAGCCGAGATAAGCAAGGTGGGTCCCATCGAAAACAATCCCCCTCTCTCTCTCGTCCTGCCTCTCTCTGCTCGTGTCTTCCCATACGTCTGTCCCTGTATCACGCACACACAGACATTGAGCGCGGGCTGGCCTCAATGAAGCGGGACTGTGCGCTGGACACGCTGGCAGCCGCTATTTACAACGTGGACCAGCATTCCAAGACCGCCTTCGGCCCACTGCTCGAACGCAGAGTGGGTCCTGGATCAATGGCTGCCAGTTCCCGTGTTTTTCGTGCTGCTGCTTCTGCTCTTGTTGCTAACCATGCCGTCGTATGCCTCTTTGATGCTTGTTTGCTTCCCTATTTTCCATCTTCCCGTTTTTCTTCATTCACCTACCTCCTCACCTCGTCTCTCGTCTCTCACCACCCACCCACCCCCCAAGCGCTGCCCCTTTCGTTTCTCTCCCTTCATCACCCACGTGACCTTATTCTTCCCCCACCTCTCCCCCTTTCTTGCACCACCCGCCCACCCATCCCACGCCAGGCGCAAGTGCAGCGCATCCAGTCGGTGCAGGGGCTGCTGCTGCGCTTCCGCACGCTCTTCAACATGCCCTCTGCCATCCGCACGCACCTGCGCAAGCACGAGTACGACAGCGCTGTGCACGAGTACCTCAAGGCCAAGTCCATCTCCCTCACGGGCCATGTGAGTATGAGTTGAGGGCTGTCAAGCGGGCGTTTGAGTCTGATCCACCACCTGAAAGCAGAGCTGCATGTATTCACATTCCACGCGTGCCCCTCTTCCCTCGTTACCCCAGCAGCTTGTACCATTCTTATCCATTCTTCCCGCACTCCCTTTCCTCTCGTTTCTGCGCCCCTCCTACCCCTCCCACCCATCTCTCTCCATCTCAGTCCAACATCCTGCGGCGGGTGAACGAGGAGGTGGAGAAGGTGGTGGACGAGTTCAGCAGCATCCTGTACGCGCAGCTCAGCGAACCCACCGCCGCCCCCTCCACTGTGAGTTGAGCAGCATCCTGTACGCGCAGCTCAGCGACCCCAGTGCCAGCCCCTCCACTGTGAGTGCTGAGTGGGTAGAGGCAAAAAGGGGGAGCATATGGAGGAGGTGGTGGACGAGTGTAGCAGCCACCCCATCTGGCACCACGTGAGTGTGTCCAGGAGTCTGACATTGAGAGTCAAAGTCACCGTCCTTACATGCACCCCCCTCCTCCGCCCCTTCCCCCTTTTCCAGGCTGAGAATGTCATTTGTCTGCTGTTAGAGATCGAACATGAGGCTAAGCACTATGTGAGCATGCGGGAGCGGCGGATCTCGAGTAGATCCAGAAGTCACCTTCCCCACATGCACCCTCCCCTTGGCAGGTGGAGAACGCCATCCGGCTGCTGCTGGAGATCGACCCCGAGAGCGACCCCATCTGGCACTACGTGAGCATGCGGGAGCGGCGCATCCGCGGGCTGCTGGAGGCGTGCGTGCAGCAGCACGAGCGGCGCGTGCAGGGCATCCGGCGCAGGCGGCAGGAGAAGCGGGAGGACGAGCACCAGTGGCGCCTGCTGCAGCGCAACCCCCATGAGAAGGTAGGTGGGGGAGGAGAGAGTGGAGGGGAGTGGGAGTGGTTTCCTTTCCTCCTCTGATTGCCGTTTCTGTACTCTTCTCCTCGTACCCTTCCCCCCACATATCTCCCCCCCTCCCCTCCTTCGTCCCTTCGTTTCCCTTCACCCTCAGCTGGAGCCAGGCCTGGCGGCATTCCTGAACGGGGAGGTGGAGGAGCAGGAGGAGGCGGAGGACGTGTTGGACGGGGAGGAGGAGGAGGAGATTCTGCAGCAGCACTCGCTGCTCGTGTGCCGCCTCGCTGCCGTGCTGCAGGAGCAGCTGCCGCAGCTGTGGAAGGTCGTTCTGGGGATCTTCACTGGCAAGTTCGCCAACTTCTCCAAGGAACCGCAGGTGGGTGGGTGGGTGAGAAGGAGAGAGACGCGGGCAATGATGGGAAGGTCTGAGGTGCCGTTTTGAGGCGCCTCAAAACCGGGCAATGGTAGGAAGGTCTGAGGTGCCTACTTTTGAGGCGCCTCAAAAATAGACTCCTCTGACACGCAGCTGCTGCAGCTGTGGAGGGCCGTCCTCGTCGTGGGAATCTTCACGGGGAAAGCTGCCAACTTCTCAAAAGAACCGCCGGTGGGTGTGGTGGGTGGAGGAGGAGCAGAGCAGGTGAGTGGGTGGGAGGGTGGCGAGAGGGAGAGACAGAGCGACAGCTGGTGCCTCATCCTTTCCTTTCATTCCGTCTCTCTTCCCATCCTGCCCACCTCCCCTCCCACAGCCAACAGGAGTGCACCCCCATGGGGGAGCCTATGCGGTCAAGCCCTGCTCCAACTCGGGTCTGGGCAGCCAAGGGTGGGGAGGGGCGGGCAGGGGGCATAATCTCATACATGCACTCGTTTCTCACAATTCCTTCCCCCCACTCCCCCCCCCCCCTTCCCACAGGCAGCAGGAGCGTACCCGTACGGGGGAGCCTACGCCGCCAAGCCCCCTCTCGCCCGCTCCAGCTCTGGTCTGAGCAACCAAGGGGGAGGCGCGGCGGGCACGGGGGGGCCGTACCGCAAGCACGCGCAGGTGGAGGGGGTGGCGATGGTGATGGGCATCGTGGGCGTGTTCGAGAAGCAGGTCACCGACGCCTTCACCGCGCTCGAGAGCAGCCGGGAGCTGCGCCCGTACATGCTGCAGGCCGTCACTGCGGTCGCCAAGGCGTCGTCTGCCTTCGCTGCTGCTGAGGCTGCTCCTCCTCTCGCAGGTATGCCCCAGGCAGGTGAATACTGGGTTCACAACAGGAGAGCAGCCGGGAGCAGCGGCCGTACATGCTGCAGGCCGTCACTGCTGTTGCTAAGGCGTCATCGGCTTTTACTGCTGCCGAGGCTGCTCCTCCGCGTGCTGCCCACGGACAACACGCAGGTTAGGATATTTCTCAGCCATACCTAGCTCCTTCAAAGGCATGTATTCACTCGTTTACCCTACCCTCTCTCCCCAGTATCTTTGCCTTTCCTCTCTCCCCAGTATCTTTGCCTTTCCTCTCTCCCCAGTATCTTTGCCTTTCCTCTCTCCCCAGTATCTTTGCCTTTCCTCTCTCCCCAGTATCTTTGCCTTTCCTCTCTCCCCAGTATCTTTGCCTTTCCTCTCTCCCCAGTATCTTTGCCTTTCCTCTCTCCCCCATGCACCCCCTCCTTCTCACCCTTTCCTCTCCCAAACCCCACCTCTCTTCCCCTCCCCCGCTCACCCCTCCCCCAGTGCAAGCCCTGCACCAGTTCTGCATGGCCATCACCACCACCCGCGTCTGAGGCACCTTATTAGTCCGTCTCACCTCTCCGCTCCCCCCCCCCCTCTCGCTCCCCAGTGCAAGCGCTGCACCAGTTCCGCATCGCCATCACGGCGCGCTTTGTGCGCCAGCTGTGCTTCATCATGCGCGGCGCGGCCGCTGACGTGGCGAAGCAGGAGGACTGGATGCCCGCCGCCTCGCACCTCACCAAGGGCTCCGAGTTTGACATCTCGCACTTCCCCGTGCGCTTTGGGGAGACCATTGGGGCGGCGCTGGACCAGATCACCCAGTGAGTGGGGCAGTGGGTATGGTGATGGCTGGACCTAACGCAAGGCAGCAAGGTAGCGTGCACCTCGCCAATAAACCTGAGTTTGGATGTTCACACCTCTCTTCCCCGTATGCTTTGGGGAAACCATTGGCGTGTTGCTGGACCACATCTCACTGTGGGTGGGGGAGAAAAAGTGGGGGTTTGGAGGGGGGGGTGGGGGGGGGATGGGGGGAGGGGCAAGCATGGGCTGAGGGTCCCGGTGGCAAGCGGTCGGATGCCGCAGCAGTGCAGGCGGCAGCAGCAGCAGCACAGGCAGCAGTGGATTGCCTGTCACGCTCCCAACACTCTCTATTTCGCTCTCCCCGCTTTGCCCCTCCCTGATCTCAGGGCGTTGGCCCAGCTGTCAAAGGACGGGCCGAGCATCCCAGTGGCCAGCGGGTCGGATGCCGCAGCAGCGCAGGCGGCAGCAGCGGCGGAGGTGTGGCGCATGTATGCGTCGGTGAAGACCACCTTCTACGAGTCCTTTGTGGATGCCTGTGGTGAGCTGTTAGCCTGTTACTCACTCAGGCACTCCTGTCGTGACTTGTGAGTGGGCTCAATACACAGCCGAGGAAAGTGGAGATGAAAATAGAAAAGGTGACCAGCAGTTGACGCGGATTCGCTCTGCACATTGCCCACTTCCCTCTTAGCTCACATGTCCCCCCTCTCTTCTGCCCCCCCCCCCCCCGCCTCTCCACCCTCCCCCCTTTCCCCCCCACCAGAGGCGCTAGTGCAAATGGCCAAGCAGTTGCCAGATGGATCCGCTCCCCCCGAGGGGGAGGAGGGGGCGGAGGGCGAGGAGGGGGAGGAGGAGGAGGGGGCGGAGATGGGGCCGCAGTTTGAGGGGCTGCAGCAGGGCGTGGAGGTGGGCAACCCGCACCAGCGCATCCTCATGCTGCTCAGCAACGCGGGGTTCTGCCGATCCGTGGTGGCCAGGGACTTGGCCCAGCGCTACCAGCACCTGTGGAACGACCCCAGGTGGGTGTTGTCTTGGTGAAGTGAGGGGTGAGGAGTTGTGAGAGGTGGGGAGTGGTAAAGAGAGGACTGGGAAACTGGGTGTGTGAGAAAAGAGAGGGCGTGGAGGTGGGCAACCCGCACCAGCGCATCCTCATGCTGCTCAGAAACGCCGTCTTCTGCCGCTCCATGGTCGCCCGGGACCTGGCCCAGCACTACCAGCACCTGTGGAACGACCCCAGTTGGGAACGGAGTGTGGGAAGACAGAGAGGTGTGCGCAAACTGTGACACGATTGGAGAACGCCTTTACCATGATAGCTGCAGAGAGTGCAATGTTCTCCATTCCTCCTCACTTGCATCCTCGCCACCCCCTCCAGTTCCCCCTCTCCGTCTCCCCCGTCCCCACCCACAGTGCGTCAGCGCCAGCACCCACCCGTCCAGGCTACACGCCCCCAGCCTTGAACGAAGTTGAGCAACTACTAGCAGACGTGGAGCGCGTGTTCTTAGAGGCGGAGACGGCGGTGGGCGACCAGTACATTGCAGCCAAGGCACAGCACCTGGGCATGGCTGTCATTCGATATTTCCTCGAAGACGGCACCGCCTGGGCTGCTGCGCCCCCCGTCAAGGTGAGTGCCGTTCTAGGCCGCTGCCCCCCCTGCCAAGGTAAGAGAGAGAGATTCGTGCTTTGAGGGTTCTTGAGGTGCCTCTAGAGACGGCGGTGGGCGACCAGTACATCGGGACCAAGGCGCAGCACCTGGGCATGCCGTCATCCGGTGCTTCCTCGGAGACAGCATTGCCTGGGCCGCTGCCCCGCCGGTCCAGGTGATGAAGATTCAACACCGCGATTGAGTCGGTGCGTTGCTGCCCCTCTTGTGAAGGGCATAGTCTGCTCTGCCCTTGTTTGTTCCGTGTTGTTCCCCGTCAGTTCAGCTTCGCTGCCTTCTGGTGTGTCTGTTCACATGCGCTGAGGTTAAAGCCCCACCTTGCCTTCTGCAAGGGCACGTGCTCACCAATGTACCTGCATCCGACCCAGCCACCACCCTCTTGTACGCAAGACCGCCATTCGAGCTTCGGCACAGCATCATGCGTCTGTGTCATGTCATGGGGTATGCCTCATGCCATCCGTCCCCTCAATCCTCCGTGCCATGTGAGCAGGGTCTGCGGGACTCAGCCCTGGATCTCATCCTGCCATTGGTGGCTGTGCATGCTGAGGTAAGCTCACCCTAGTGATACTTGGGGATCCTGTGCTATTGAGTGAGACAAGCGTGCCCGAGTGAGACGACCTCGCCCTAGTGAGACGAGGCGCGCCCTAGTGAGACGAGCGCGTTCTCGCTCGAGTCCCTTCTTTTGTTCTTTCTCGGGACTTCCATGCCTCACAGCCATGCCTCACAGCCATGCTTCATGCCATACCTTGCACACACCACTCTTTGTCCACTCCAACCCTCCATGGCTGAGAATCTTACCTGCGCTTCTCTGCTGCCTCCGATAACTCTCTCTCTACTATCCAGGTGTCCGCGGGCTGCAGCCCTTTTGTCGACCGCGCCATCAATACGCTCTCAGAGGGCCTCATGGACGCGCTGCACCAGGTGGCCTTCCAGCACGCCGACCTCGAGCAGCTGGACGCCAACGCCTTCTGCCAACTCTCATTAGAGGTGGGTGCTGAGGCGAGATGCCTGAAGATGCACTCGAAGGTGCTCATGGTATGGTAGGCCACATCTCGTCACGTCGCATCACATTGCCGCAGCCGCCTCATGGACGTGCTGCACCAGCTGACCTTCCAGCACGCCGACCTCGAGCAGCTCGACGCCAACGCCTTCTGCCAGCTGTCGCTGGAGGTGTGTTCAGAGGGGCTTCAAGATGCTTCCAACGGGGTTGGTCTTCCAGCTGTGCAACATGCACTCCTCTCTCGAGGGGCTATCGCTCACTCCTCCCTCTCTTCCCCCCCTAAACACCCCCCCCCCCCCCTCTTCAGCTGGACTACTTCCAAGCCGTGCTTCAACCGTTTGCCTCACCCTCGCTGGACGACATCATCTTCCAGCTAAGGGACATGCTGCTGCACCGCACCATGCAGTCCATCGCTGCCGCAGGCCCGCCTCCCGACGACCGCCCCAGCTACGAGCGCCAGCTGTCACGGGGCGGCGGCGGCATGCGGTCGGGCGAGTGGGGAGAGGAGAGGGACATTCCCACCCCTCAGACGCCTGAGCAGCTCAAGGTGTGTCATGAACGTTTCGATTCAGGAAATTTGAAACTTCTCTGGCCTCCCGCCGCGAAGATATTGGCCGTGCATGTTCCGGCTCTGAACTTCGTTATTTGCTCTCCCTTCCTCACCTCTTCCCTCCCTCCCTCCCTCCCTCCCCCACACCCCCCGTCTCCCCCACTCAGGGTATAGCAGACAGCCTGTCAGCAGACCTGCTGCCCGGGGAGCTGCGGCGCACGCGCGTGAACGTGTTCTGCTTCGGCCTGCGCCTGCCCGATGACTCCCTGCACGCCGCCTCCCCCTCGGGCGGCTACGACAGTTCGTCCATCATCCATGGCGCGCAGTCCACCATCAGCTCCTCCTCTGGCTCCAGTGCCACGCGTGCCTACTCTGCCATTCTCCCTGTTCCCGATACCAGTGCTGGCCTCGCTGCCAGGGCCAGGGCTGCAGGCGTTGCTTCGGCCTCTGCTGCTGCGGCGGCGGTTGCTGGTGGGGTTGGGGAGGGGTACAGACCGGGAGCAGCAGGTGCTGCTGCTGCTGCTGGCGCCGGTGCTGCTGGAGCCGGGGTTGGGGGAACGCCTAGGACGGCTGGACTGAGAGGGACGTACGAAGGGGGTGGGTATGGGGGAGGAGCGGGAGGAGGAAGAGGTGCGTACGGAACAGCGGCGGCAGGAGGAGCAGTTGGGGTAGGAGCAGGGATGTATGGGGGGGCAGCAGGGGGACAAGCAGGGGCTTATGGGGGGGCGGGAGGGGTGGGGGCAGCACCGTATGGGGGAGCAGCAGTGCCAGGATCTGCTGCTAGGGCTCTGGACGGTAGGAGAGGGCAACAGGGGGCACGAGGTTATGGTGGTGGGTACTGAGGCTGCCTGGGGGATGCATAGTGTTGTGCTTGTGTGTTGTGCTTCTCTAGTGCTTGGCTTGGCCTAGTGAAGCTTCAAATTGTGTGCAAGATCCAATCGTGTCACGCCAGGATCTAGGGAACACTGCATGAATCTCACAAACTCTGCTGTAACGGCATTCCAATGTGTACAGTAGTGGTGGCTATGTATGATGTGTGTCAACACTTGTGGACAATTATATAAGGTTCAGCTTTCGCGTTTAGGCTACTTTGTTTCCTTCAGCTCTCTGGACGCCGATATCGAGGTACCCAGTACGCAGTAGGGGGTTCAAGTCTATCGCAAGAGTCCGCTTCGAAGTGCGTGCGACGTCTTCTCCGCGGGGCTTCGCGAATAAGCGGCTGTCAGAGCACGATGGAAATGGCGGGAAACCAAACGCGGAATCCTCACCATTCGCGATCGATTGTCTGCCTGCCCTTGCTACGCTGTTTTGGACCTTCTCGTGCCTTGCCCAGCCGGTGGGGCGGTGTATCTGCGGATGTGTCAGCGGGCGGGTCACTCACACGGCAACAGGGCTTGCTTGTTCGCTGGGCAAAGCAGCGTCCCCCAGCCCAGGGTGGTTGCTGCTGCTGCTGGCTTTGGTTGCAGGGCTCTCGGTTCAAGGGTAAACATCCAGAATGTCAGGTACATTCCGGGTCTTTCCAGCTGAAAATAATGATTTTGAGGGATTCTGACTCACAAACATCCTAGCTGATTCCGGGCGTTTCTGAGGAACTCCCTGAGCAATCTGGATTGCGCGAAAAATTATCCTGGCCATCCGACTGGCATGGAAACTCACCCGTGCCGGAATTGCAACCCTACCCTCCCACCCGACCGCCCCCCTCCCCCCCCTTTCCTTCGCAACCCTGACCAATTTTCCGTGGAACTTTCACAACTACAGAAGTGCAGGGCTGTCAGACTATCACAACCCCTTAATATCAACAGCCAGGTTGCGCACTGTCCCTCTAAGTCGTACGCATTTCTGTCGCGATTAAGGAAAGTGTCGAACATGGTGTGGTGGTGAGGACAGCAGCAGCAGCAAGTGTGTGTTCTGGATTCTTCTCCATCGTTTCTTCCATCGAGTCCTTCCTGCTTGTACTCGAAGTGCCCACAGGTTCCGCTGATATGTAGGGAGTCCCAAAAAAAACTCTGAATTTCAGATTGAAAGGTCAAAGTCATCCTGAAATAAAGAGAGATTTTCCTGGGAATGCTGAATTTTCAGGGTCTTTAGTGACGCGAATCCTGAGACCGCTGGGTCTTGAAAAACGAAAAACGAAAAAAAAATAGCCCTGGCTGGTTGGTTGGCATGCTTGTCTGACCAGCGGTTTGCGCGTAACGTAACCAACGATCTGAAGGCGGTGCTTGCGGATTTTAGTCTGGCCGACAGCAGCCGAAGCATCTGAGTGGGTCAGTAACCGGGGCATAGCAGCCGAATAGGGCCACATAGTACGGCTTTCCCCGCCGACCAGAGCACACAGTGCACCAGTTCAGTACAGCATCGCACTTCGAAGCCGTGAAGCCATGTTATCAGCATGCTTGTCTGGCGAGGGTTCGCACTCCGTGTTCGCACTATGTTGTCAGCGCCTTTGTCAGAAGTCCGGCAGGTTAACACACACTCTCCGCGAGTTAGTTAGGGACGAATAGCGAGCCGACCACAGCACAGAAATTTAGCTTGACATTAACTAGTCCGAATCCCGTCCCCAGCCGTCGTCCAGATTCTGGCCACACCTACATTCGCGCGTAATCCCCTTCCCACATCCGAACTCTACTTAGTGTCATGTGGACCCCAGCTGCGACCGTCACTAGGTTATCGGGTCGATTAATATCATCGAGACGAAGCAGGCCAAAAGCAGGTCGCGCGCTTTCCGCTTCAGACAGCGCTGGCCGGCCAGATTCGTGCGATAATCGACGAATCTCATCCGTTCGATCGACAGCATCAGGCTACACAGAGCCGTTGACGAGCGGGAATGGTTGCTTAGGAAGGCGTCAGCTGCGTGCCGTTCCGCTGTGTCCGTTCGTCGTGTCGGCCTTTCTCCTCCTCCTCCTCGCGTCCCCAGGCACGAGTTCCGCCAGGCTAGCACCCAGCAGGGCAAGAGTTGTAACCAGCAGGGCTCTTAAATCCATCTTTTCCGGGCCTCTCACTTCCACCGTGCTCCCCGCGTCTCCCGGCGGCAGCGCCCTCTTGTCGTTTTTCTCGCCAGCTTTAAGGGGGAATAGCGGGCAGGAGCGCGCGTCTGAGACGCCTGAGGCGCGTGAGCGCAGGAGCCTCAAGTCGCTGGCCGCAGCAGGGGATGCGCTCAGAGCACACGAGCCGCCGTCGGTCCGAGGCAAGAAGAGCAACCCGCCCGGCATGCTGGACTGCGTGCTGCCGTATCAGGTAGATCGCTAAGGCAGCGATGAGGGCAGTCGAGACGCAGTCGAGAGGGGCGGAAAGGGCAAGCTCGAGTGCATGCAGGCGGTTGAGGCAGTCGGGCCTCGTGGATTAGGCGGGGATTGTGAGGCGGTGCGCTGCCGGAGGGCTCTTGACGCGACTCACCATCACGCTTTCCGTCCCAGGCAGTCAGGCTCAAGCGGGTTTGGGCGGCCGCATTGGGGCGCACTGGGAGGGAGAGTGCCAGGAAGTGTAGGGGGGGCGTGCGAGGCAGTGCGGACGATGGGGATTGACTGGGCCGGGAGGGGGGGGAGAGGAACAGGAGAAGCGGCGTGTCTGTGGTTCGGCTTCCAAGGTCTTAGAGAGTAGGCGCGGGGTGAGATACGAGCTGTGAGGGTACTTAAGTCGTGCCCATTCCTGTTATCTCATTTCCAACCATCTCTCCCCCCCCCTCCCTCGCAGGAGTGCGACTTCGCCTTTGACGGCTCGCTGGCCCTCGTGCCCTTCTACCTGCTCCCCACAATGCGCCCCTCGCAGCCCTTCTCCGACTCCCTTGTACTCTACAAGTAAACATCCACCCCCCAAGCGTGCACCCCCCAAGCGTGCCCCCCCCAAGCGTGCGCCCCCCAAGAGTGCGCCCCCCAAGCGTGCACCCCCCAAGCGTGCCCCCCCCAAGCGTGCGCCCCCCAAGCGTGCACCCCCCAAGCGTGCCCCCCCCAAGCGTGCGCCCCCCAAGCGTGCGCCCCCCAAGCGTGAACCCCCCAAGCGTGCGCCCCCCAAGCGTGCGCCCCCCAAGCGTGCGCCCCCCAAGCGTGAACCCCCCAAGCGTGCGCCCCCCAAGCGTGCGCCCCCCAAGCGTGCCCCCCCCAAGCGTGCGCCCCCCAAGCGTGCGCCCCCCAAGCGTGCCCCCCCCAAGCGTGCGCCCCCCAAGCGTGCGCCCGCCAACTGCTCAACTCTTCTCCTCGCTGCACCCAGTTTCCCGCGCTTCCGGGCCGTTCCATGCTCCTCTCACCTCATCTCCTTCCCATTGCGCTTTCGGTTGATTTCCCGCTCCCGCTCTCTTTCCCGCTTCCGGTTTCTTTCCCATTCTCCCTGTTGTCGTTGTGGCGGCGGTGGTGGTCAACAGTGCATCGACGCGGACGACAGCGCCGGTGATCGGTGGAACGCTCAAGAAAAAGTGCCGCGCAAAAAGAGTACGGTCTTCCTTCTGCTCCTCCTCTCTCCTTCTCTTTGCCTTTCATCCCTGATGCTGCTCATCCAGTTGCCCTCCCATTTCCTACCCACCCTCTCCCCCCCCCTCCCCACCCCCACCCGTTTCCCCACTCTCCCTCCCCACCCCTCTCCTGCAGTCCCCCCTCTCTCCTTCCCCCCTCTACTTCCCCCCTCTCCTTCCCCCCTCTCCTTCCCCCCTCTCCTTCCCCCTGTCCTTCCCCCCTGTCCTTCCCCCCTCTCCTTCCCCCTGTCCTTCCCCCCTCTCCTTCCCCCCTGTCCTTCCCCCCTGTCCTTCCCCCCTGTCCTTCCCCCCTGTCCTTCCCCCCTGTCCTTCCCCCCTGTCCTTCCCCCCTGTCCTTCCCCCCTGTCCTTCCCCCCTGTCCTTCCCCCCTGTCCTTCCCCCCTGTCCTTCCCCCCTGTCCTTCCCCCCTGTCCTTCCCCCCTGTCCTTCCCCCCTCTCCTACCCCCCTCTCCTTCCCCCTCTCCTTCCCCCCTCTCCTTCCCCCCTCTCCTTCCCCCCTCTCCTTCCCCCTGTCCCGCACGCGTCTCGCCTTCCCCTATCGTCCCCTCCCGTTTCCTCTCTTGCCGTCTGTCGCCCGCCAGGCCGTCTCCCGTCTCAAGGGGTTCCTCGTTTCTGCGGACTGCGCCTCCGTTTCTTGCTGCCAAATAGCCATGTGCAACCACGTACCAAATTCTCTTCGCAACTGCCCGGAATCCGTCACTCCTGCCGACCCCCGTGCTTTCAGGTTGCTCGCAAGGCGTCGTGCCCATCATTCGACCTCGTCAACAGTCAAGGCATTAAGCTGACTGTGCGGGGCTCCTCACCTGGACTGGTCGGTTGCCTAGACACTGCCCGACCTTGGCGTTGCTTCATCTCTATTCTCTCCGTTCTCTCACGCCCGTGATTCATCCTCTTCTCATGTTCCAGTGCTTCAACATCTCGCCGTGCCCATTGGGTGTGTTCTATTTCTTTCCTGTTCCTTCATTGTAGAGTTTGACAGTCTCCTCAGAAGGTCGTGCCAACCACTGCCAGTGTCTTTCCCCTCCTTTCTTTCCTGGCGTGCAGCAATACTCGGGGTTGTGCTTCATAGTGGAGTTCGACACTCTGCTCATTAAGATGGGGCTGGGCCGCAACAACATTGCCAAACTCAAGTCCAAGGACGACAACCCACAGTTCCCAGAGGTGAGTGCGCCATCGTATACCATTTTCTCGCACGTTCCAGTCACTAACTTGCACTGTGTTCTGCCGGTGGTTGTCATTCTGCTGTGGCGTGCATGGCCATTACCATTGACCATTGACCATTGGCCATTGGCCATTGCCCATTGTTGTGGCTGATCTGCACGCTGGTTTTCATTCTGCAGAATCGGAGGTGCGCAGTCTTCCGGGTGGTTTGAGAGAGCTCGCTGTGCCTCGCGCGCTGGACTCACATTTTCTAATACACGGGACCCTAGGTCCCTCAGTAGGTGTGGCTCTAGAGGGTTGCCATGCCATGGTAGATGTTGCTGCTGCTTGGCTGCTGCTCAGTCCACGCTGTACACATCTCCTGGCAGTAAATCAGCTTGTTTTACACTGGCGCGGCGCACCTCTCAACTTATACATATGTTCATATGTAGAAGTTATAGG